CGCCCCAGAGAGTACCTGAGGGCCCCCCCGCTGCGTTCCCCAGAGAACACTCACAGTTCAAGTTGCAGTTAGGGATGTATATTAGAAGGCAAGGACAGACCACGGGCTGTGAATTTTTGTTTACTGCTCATAACCTGTCCATGACTTTTATTAAAAATATCTGACACTGAAAAGTTGCCTTAATTATGGTGAGGGAAACTAAAGTTCAGCGTTTCATTCCAATTGAAGAAAAACACGGATTTTTATTATTTTTAAAGCAGATAAGCTGGAGGGGGATTAATCACAGAAAACTAGGATCTCTGGTTATTAGTGACACAAGTAAGAATTTTTTTTAAAAGGTAAAAATTGTAACCCATCATTGTCACTTTAGGAAAGATTTTATTAGGGGGGGAAAAACACAAGTATAATCACCAACTAGTTTAAACAATGAGAATGAATTCACCTTAGAGAATGAATTCATTTGCTCATAATAGTTATCTGTTAGTCTTTAAGGTGCCACAGGACTCCTCATTGTTTTTGCAGATACAGACTAACATGCTTTATAGGTGTAAAAAATAGATTAAAAAAATCAATGCACACAAAAAAAATCTCATGAAAATGAAGGTGTAAAACATGCATTAAGGGCCAGATTTGATGCTCAATCTCCCTAAGTCCTGTTGTCTCCCAGATACACAGAATCTGCACTGAAATGGGCCCAGCATAATTCAAAGGAGATTGGATCCTCTAATTTATGGCATACTCCTGGTGCTCCCTCTGGCTTGAAGCACAAGCCAGAATGGACATAGTGACACACATTATGGTCCCTTTCTGCCTTAGACTACTACCCCTGACATGTTCCTGTTGAAGACAATCCAAGGCGATGCCTTTGCCAAACGAATTCACCCTCTCGAGTCCCTGTGTGTTGTTCTCAGACCCTATAAAGTAGCAGTGGAGCTGTGTACTGGTTTTTTTTTTTTTTTTTTAATCCTAATACTGTATTTTTATCCTAGTAGTTCCAGGACTAGGTAGAGTGAGATCTATATATAAAAGGAAGTTACCCACTTTGTGCAGTAATGACCGTTCTTCAAGGTGTATGTCCCCACGAATGCTCTACTGTTGGTGTCAGGATCATCCCATTACCACAGATTGGAGTTTTTCTAGCAGTATCTGGTCGGGCAACACATGCGCAGTAGGGGGTGTGTGCAGTTTGTGCCTTTGATGTTCACACGTGCAGCCCAACTCCCCCTCAGTTTCTTCATGTACGCCCTATTGCGTAAAAGTCAATCTGAAGAAGAGGGGAGGAAGGGAGGGTTGTGGAGCACCCACATAGATGCACATCTCGAAGAACCATGTTACTGCACAAAGTGAATATCTTCCTTTTCTTCAGGTGATGTCCTCGTGGGTGCTTCACTGTTGGTGACTACATAGTGGTACCCCAAAACTGGTAGGTTGACTTCGGATTAGCGCTTATGCATGGATGAAAGGACTGCATTGGCAACAGCTGATCCTGTCATGTGGAGATTGCAGAACGTCTCATGAAAGTGTGGTTGGATGACCAAATGGCTGCGTAGCAGACATCCTCAAGTGGGACTCCCTTCAGAAAAGTGGTTGATGCAGCTACAGCTTCTATGGAGTACACCCTGGGGGGCACAGGGAGTGGGCTACTTTGAATGGAGAAGCATTGGATGATGAAAGATGTTATCAACTCGGAAATATGTTGCGACGAAAGTGGCGTTCCGAGACCACTCAGTAACTGAAACAAATAATGGCTGTGATTTCCGGAAGGGTCATGTGCGGTCAATATAGAATGATAATGCCATTAGGACATCCAAGGTATGTAGAGTAGCCGCCTTCTGAGAAGCATGAGACTTTGGATAAAAGGCAGAGAGGATGATTGACTCAATGTGGAAGTCTGTGCAGACTCTAGGAAAAAAAAAGAGGGATGGGGTCGCAGGACAACCTTGTCTTTATGAAATACAGCATAGGGCTAAGATGCTGTGAGAGTGGTACTCTCACTAACTCACCTTGCTGATGTGTTAAAAACACTATTTTTGCTGTTAATAAAGCAAGCCAAGGGCTCAAATGGTGGCCCAGTTAATGTGTTGAGTATTAAACTCCTAATACCACGTGGGGGACTAGAGGTCTACACAGAGGATTATGGTTATGTAGCTCTTTGAAGAACTTCTTGAAAATAGTGTGTGCAAATGCCAAGAACCCATCAATCGGGGGATGAAAACACTGCCAGCGCAGCTCAGTGTACTCAGAGAGGTAACTGACAGACCTTGTTGTTTCAGATGTATGATGTAGATGAGGATCATATGAAGAGGGCGGTAAATGGTTGGATCCTGCTACTCACACACCAGGCTCTAAAGTGCTTCCATTTATAAAAGTAAGTATTACAAGTGGCCTGTCCTCTACTCTGGAGTAAGATATTGTTTACTTGTGAGCATATTTTCTCCACTTCTGAGAACCATAGAGAAGCTACGCCATCAGATGTGGCATTTATGGTTGAGGATGGAGTAAGGTGCCTCCGTTCTGACGAGATCTGGGTGGTTCAGAAGTGGGTAAGGAGGTCGGAGAGACATCTGATTAGGGATATAAGCAACTAGTTAACTCTCCAATAAGCAAAAGCTTATCAGATAGCCAACTAGTCCCTCGACTAGTCGTTTCCCCCGCCTTTGCACTTGGGGAGCAGGAGCCGGTGCTGGGGGAACCTGGGTTAAAAGTTGGTTTCCCCCCCCCAGCACCCGCAGCAGGCAGGGGAGTAGCAGGACCAGGTGCGAGCCGGGAATAAGCTGATTCCCGACTCATGCCCAGTCCCAGATGCTGTGCCTCTGCATTTTAAATGTATTAAGAGCCTGGTGATTCTTAATACATTTAAAAATCAGAAGCACAGCAGGGGGGATCCGGCACTACCCAAGACAGCTGATTCCCAGCTCACGCAAGGTCCTTGCCCTTAATACATTTAAAAGGCTAAAGCACAGTAGGAGGTACGCAGCACAAGCTGGGACAGCTGATTCCCAACTCATACTGGGTCCCCCCTCTGTGCACCAGCCTTTAAATGTATTAAAAGAGAGTTGGTTCTTAAACTTATTAAGAGCCTCCTGGCCATGAGGCTATGACAGTGCACACGTTTCTGAGGAACATGTGCCTCACCAAGGCATTTAATACAAGACCCATGGCCATTTGAGGCAGGCATCGGGTTGTGACATTTGTCACATTTCTTAAAACCAAGGGAGTTGAGTACTTTGTTGTCTGTCTGTCTTTTTTTTTTTTTAAGCTTACTGCTCCGCCACGCCTGAGGCTTTTTTATGGTCTCTGTCTTGCCATTTGTTGCCGCTGCTGGCTTTTTATCCTCCACTATCCTCTCCCTGTTTTGTGGTTTTTTGGTTTGTTCGTTTTTTAAAAACGAACTAGATGCCCGAAGGACACACAGCCTGGCCTATGCCCATGGAGCGCTGTCCCTCAGGAACCTTTAAAACTAACTAATTACCTATACTGAGAACAGGTTGGTTTTTTTAACTAACGACTAATAGACGATGAACAACAGTAGACCATTTTTAAAACTAACTCAATTTCATATCTAAAGGTAAATGAAGAGGAGGAGAGGGATTTGAGCTCCATCTGCGATCAAGGGTGGTAACGAAGGAACTGAGAGGAGTCAGGCCATGAATGCGAACTGCAAAGGCGCAAACGACACGTGCCCCTACTGCACATGTGCGACCTGACCAGATACTGCTAGGAAAAACTCCAATCTGTGATGCCAGATCGACCCTGACATCAACAGTGAAGCATCCACAGAGACATCACTTGAAGAAGAATCTTCTGTTTACATGGGTGTATTATTTGAAAAAAAAACCTACATTTCTGAATCTTGAAGAACTTCAGAATTGATTGCAGACCTTCAAGAATTTTACAAAACTTCTATTACTTTACAGCAGAATATCTATAGAAAAAAAATTATAGATACAAAACATGCAAATGTTCACTATTAAGAGAAAAAATCTTGTTGCATGAAGCATTGGGTCAGGAGAAGATGCCTGTATCTCATATTGTTTTAGTCAAGCCAGATTGTGAGGAAGGAGGGTTTACACCCCTTCTCAAGTCACTTCTCCATAGGTGTGGTGGTCTTGAGATATTTAAAAACACATGTATGATACAGAAAATATAGCTCTACGAATACACCCATATGCACACACTGAATTTTCCCACAAACAAAATGCATCAGTTGGCCCGAGCACTCTGGCAGCATGCTGCCAACATACAGAGCAATTTGCCACTCAGCAAATTAGATCTAATGCACAGAAATGTAGCCAGGGATTGAATCTGCATTTTAGTCTCCATTGGATACTACTTTTCACAATCTATATAAAAAAATTGAACCTCCCATCCCTATCTACCCATTACATAAGAACTTTACATATTGGATGAGAGTCAAAACAGAGAACTTGGCAGCCTGGTTTTGAGCCATTAGCAGCAGAGTAAATAAGAAGAGGAAAAAAAAAAATCAACCATGCTGTACTGTGAGGAGAAAACCAAGCCAGGCAGCTAGGACTGATACTGGTCAGCTCACTTCCAAGTGAGGGAACTCTACCCTAAGAAAAGCAACAGGAATCTGCAAAGTGGTAGTTGTAAGGCAAAAGTAAGCAAAGCTCAGGGGATTAGCTCTTCACGTAAGGAGTCTGCCAGCAGGGCAGGGACTATCTGTAATGAAGGCACAATCCTTCAACAAAGCTACAGGAAGGAAAGGGCAATGGTAAGAGCTACCATTCTGGCACATGAAACACGAGCATTTAGCTACTCTCATGGTGCCACAGGACTACTCATTTTTAAAGTTACAGACTAACACGGCTACCCTTCTGAGACTTTTTTTGTGTATACAGTCAGGCTACTGAGTAGGAAATGTGTACAATATGTTCAAGTGCAACACCACTGTGTTCAGGTAGGCTGTACTGTGCGGTACTGCAGCCTGTTCACTGAACTACAGAGATTGTTCCCTCAGGCTGCTATAAGAGTCCTACCTCGAAGGCAGAGAAACGTAAGGAAATCTTCTGTCTTGGGCTTCCTTTTGGAGAGGTCAGAAATCTGAGTTGCTGGAGGGGGTAACAATGGCTCCACTATCTTTATTGGAGTTGTGCTGGGACTGTTTGGCTGGGATTGAGCAAACTTCCTTTGTGCTTGCAGCCTTGGCCTGTGAAAACAAGAGAACACCACAAGCATATTAGGCAGAACCAAGAATAGAGACGTAAAATTTAACAATTCACTGAGAGAAGAGAGGGATCAATCAAATACTAATAACATCCTCCTTAGTTGTTCCTAGTCTGCAAAGTATTTTTGAAGTATAAAAATTATAATGCATTAGGTTTAAGAGAAAATTTGTTGTACCAGTTATCTTAACGTATCTGTTGAAATCTTAAGTATTTCTAGGTGATTTTTACCTTGCTTACAGCAAATCAGTATAGCAAACAGGAACATTTTCATCCATAAGTGTGGCTATCATGTTATATGTTCAAATCATTTTCACACATTCCATATAATTAAATTATACCACGTAATAATATCTGCTATTTTTCCTTTATGAAAAACTCTCTTAGGGTATGTCTACACTACCCCGCTAGTTCGAACTAGCAGGGTAATGTAGGCATACCGCACTTGCAAATGAAGCCCGGGATTTGAATTTCCCGGGCTTCATTTGCATAAGCCGGGCGCCGCCATTTTTAAATCCCGGCTGGTTTGAACCCCGTGCCGCGCGGCTACACGCGGCACGAACTAGGTAGTTCGAACTAGGCTTCCTAGTTCGAACTACTGTTACTCCTCATTCCACGAGGAGTAAAGGTAGTTCGAACTAGGAAGCCTAGTTCGAACTACCTAGTTCGTGCCGCGTGTAGCCGCGCGGCACGGGGTTCGAACCAGCCGGGATTTAAAAATGGCGGCGCGGGATTTAAAAATGGCAGCTCCCCGCTTATGCAAATGAAGCCCGGGAAATTCAAATCCCGGGCTTCATTTGCAAGTGCGGTATGCCTACATTTCCCTCCTAGTTCGAACTAGCGGGGTAGTGTAGACATACCCTTAGAAAGGCACAAAGACTTTTGTTTACTTTGGTTCTACCCTAGTTAACACCGTACTTACTTTATAATCGAGCATTTTTAAATTGAAGGTTCTAACTTATTCCAGTTCACTAAAAATGTTGGAGCTAAAGTAGGTGAGATCCAAAGTGGGTTCAGTATAGGGTCGTAAAATTTCAGTTAGTCAATAAGGGCACCTCCGCCTTTGAAGTGTAGCAACAGCCCTGGGGTTGGAGAAAGGAGAAAGCGCTGTGGGGCACACGGGGCCAGCAGGGTACTCTGAGTCCTCAGCTGACCCCAGGCTCCACGTGGTGCTGCCACTTTGAAATGCCACATGCTGGCCCAGAGCAGCAAGCAGCATTTCAAAGTAGCAGTGCCACATGGAGCCCGGTGTCTGGCCCCAGGGCTCCATACAGTGCTGCCACTTTGAAGCACTCCCTCCTCTTTTCACCCCCCGCCCCCCCGCTGTAATTTCTGAAATGTTCAATACTAGCAAGGTACTTAACGTTCACTAGCATTGCACTAGATCCGCAGTTGCTGTGCTCTAGGTAAACCAGCTTGACGAGAAGCGTGGAGCTTTCTACACTCTAGATACAAACCAGTGTGGACTTCATGATTTAGTACTGATTTCTGAGTAGCCTCTGGTATCCTTCCCACAATGTCTAGTCTTGCTTTTCTGGTCATCTGTTGGAACTCTACTGCCCTGCTCTCAGGTGACCGACCCTAAGACCCACCCTCTGCATTCTTTTTCAAATCTGAAAGTCTCCTTCCTGTTTGATCAGTGATGTGTGGTGTGCCCTCAGCACATCTCTCCAACTGGCCGCGCCTGCTCTATGCACCAGGAGATAACCTTGCTTGGAGCCATGCCGAGGTGCTGGACCTAATCAGTGTTTGGGGAGAGGAGGCTGTCCAGTCCCAGCTGTACTCGAGTCATAGGAATTATGATACGTATGGACAGATCTCAAGATGCCTGATTGAAAAAGGCCATGACCAGGATACACTGCAGTACCGAGTCAAAGAGAAGGAGCTGTAAAACGCCTAACATCAAGGCACAGGAAGCAAACCGCCGGTCCAGTTCTACACTCATGATCTACCAGTTCTACAAAGACAACCTTGGGGAAGTCCCCACCTCCACCCACCCCCCAAGAACTTTAAGATCTCCCTTAATTTCAAAGCCAAGACATTTCAGAGTTTAACCTGCTCGCCAAACACATACGCATTCAGAGAGCTGTAGAATATCGTCCACATACTTCATGGTTTTATCTTCAAAAGCTTTGTGATGGATTCTATGCACAATATACATTTTATCAAGCATCTAGCTAGGTGTTGCCTGGCTAAAACACTGAAAAAATAGCAGCATTACAATTGTCCTCCATAATGATTGAAAATGAATTGTTTAACAATTTCTCTAAATTTGTTGTCTCTAATTCTTTCACAATTTTCCAATGGGCAATTATATTTCTTCGTGATCAAAAGACTCTCCTGATAGGCATATATTGCTTGCTTATTTCCACCTCCTAAGGGACTCATATATGGGTTATTACACAGTGGTGCTTATGATTCTGAACTGAAACAGGCTAATTTAACATATACATTTCTTTTATCTAGGAACAACGCTCCTTCAGAAAAAAAAACACAACCACTTCTATACACCAATCCAGCTATACAAAAAATCAGTTTATAATGCAAAGTGCTCCCCCCCCCCCACACACACACAGATTGGAGAGCTCTTGCAGAAGATAAATGTGATTTTAATTTCAACTGGTTATATTATCATCACCAAAAGCACATATGCAGCCACAAGTAATTTTTCATTATGGATTCTGTTTTGCACAAAATGTACGCTCTCTAAAAACAGACTACTAAGGTTACGTGGGATAAAAACCTTGCTTGCTTCTGTAACACAGAGTGACTGCCCTGAAAGGATGTACTCAATCTTTCAAGCATACGGTTGAAAATAATCTAGTCCAAGGGTAAGGAACCTTTTTCAGATCAGGGCCTCACTGGCATGGCCTCCGACTGAGAAGGATAAAGACGTGCCCCACACTCCCATCACACACCAGAGCGTAGGGGGGGCCCAGGAGAGTAGATTTTGTGTGCTCCAGTCCTACAGGGGCGATGGCAGGAGAGCTGCAGCACCAGTATGGGGTCCCCAGTGCTAGAGGGGAGCCCTGAGCCTTCGCGGCTGGATCCAAGTAAGCCAGGAGCTGCATCTGGCCCCCAGGCCTTAGGCTCCCCAACCCTGATCTAGTCACTAAATTGGGCAAATGCTTGTTGAATTTACCTATTCACATCTCCCCCCAACCAGAGATTCAGATAAAAAGCCACACTAAGGGCACCTGAACAGAAATACAAGAAATGCACATTTGAAACCTGTGCTAAGATTTAATGTTAACCCTTTACATTAAGGACTGCTCATCTGGTTATTTACAGCACAATCTACCATCATATGAGTCAGAGTGTCCCTACTCAATATTTCCCATCCCAGGAGCAAAATAATATTTTCAGCATGTGAGGTGCTGACGAGGGAGTGGTGGATACCCAGTATATTTATATTAAATATTTATATTGTTTATAATATAAATATAAATATTTATATTAAAAACGAATGCCTATTGAATTAGTAAAGTACAAGTACATTTCAAAATGTGTTGACATTTATATTTTGGGCTTTTTGTCCCGTCCTTGTTCCATTCCAGTGCACACACTTTCCCCATATTCTGACTTGGGTACTACATTTCTCCAGTCTCACCCAGTCACCAGGTAGTAACATCATCGCTCCACCCTGAAGGTTGCCAACTTTTGGACCGCAGAAAACCAAATACCCTTGAGCCTTGCCCCTATTCTGTTTCTTCTCCAAAGTCCTGCCCCTTCTCAACTCCATCACCCCATCGCTCGTTCTCTCCCATCCTCCCTCGCTCACGCATTCTCACCAGTCTGAAGCGGGTGGTTTGGGTGCAGAAGGTGAGGGCTCCTGTGGGGCAGGGCCAGGGATGAGAGGTTTGGGTTGCAGGAGGGGGCTCCAGGCTGGGAGATGGAGAATGTGGGAGGGGTACTGGGCTAAGGAGGTTGGAGTATGAGGTGGTGAGGGCTCCAACTGGCAGTGCGGGGTCCAGAGGGCCAGAAATGAAAGGATCATGGTGTGGGAGGAACCAGGAATGAGGGGTTTGAGGTGAAAAAAGGTGCTCAGGGCTGGGACTTGGGGGTTTGGAGTGTGGGAGGAGGGGGGCTCACAGCTAGGGGATGTGGTTCAGGGTACAGGTTCTGGGCAGCGCTTACTTCAGGCAGTTTCCAGAAGCAGCAGCTATGTCCCTCTGGCTCCTAAGTACAGAAGAATCTTGAGGCTCCATATGCCACCCCATTCACCAGTGCCACCCCACAGCTTTCACTGGCCACGGTTCCCAGCCAATGGGAGCTGTGGAGCTGGTACACAGAGTGGAGACGGTGGACAGAGCCCCTGTGGCCACCTCTGCACCTAGCAGCCAGAAGACATGTTGGCCACTTCCAGGAGCTGCACTGATCCAGCTGAAAACCAGATAGTTGGCAACTCTACCCCACAACAGCCCAACCCCAGCAGAACACTTCTATCTATTATGAAATTTAGAGCTGAAATTCTTCCGCCAGTCCATTTGGAAGACATCATTGTTATTACCAGAGGAGGTGAGATGGCACACTTGATCATACAGTGACAAAATCTCAATAACCACTCTTCCTTCATTCCTTCTCTTCCTGATATGCAGAATTTAGCACTACTTCTGAGGCATTCCCTGTTCTCTCTTGCTTTGTTCTCAGTCCTGTCGTGCACCACCTCTTGGCCAGGGAACCAGACAATCAATGTCCAAAAGGTCAAGTTTTATTAACTAAAAGCCAGACCAATTCAGTGAATTAAAACAAAGAAGCCCACAGCTTTTTTTACCCTGGTACCTGGTGGGGCTTCCAAAGTACAGGCAGTCCCCGGGTTACGTACAAGATAGGGACTATAGGTTTGTTCTTAAGTTGAATTTGTATGTAAGTCAGAACTGGCTCCAGATTCAGCTGCTGCCACTGAAACTGACCAGGGGCTGACTACAGGAAGCCAGAGGCAGAGTTGCTCTGCCCCCAGCTTCCTGGAATCAGCCTGATCAGT